CCGCGCGGCGGCGTTCCGCGTCCGCCAGTCGCGCGTCCAGCAGGGCGCGCAGGCGCTGGGCCACGTCGGGCCGCTGGGCCGAGACGTCGCGCTGCTCGTGCGGGTCCTCGGCCAGGTCGTACAGCTCGGCGCGCTGCTCGGCGGCGTGCAGCACGAGCTTGAAACTGCCGTCGATGACCGCGTAGTGCCCCGCACGGATGGGGCGGAAGCGGCTTTGGCGTTCCATTGCCATCGTGAACACGGGCTGCGGCGGCAGCTCGTCGCCGAGCAGTGCGGGCTTGAGGCTGCGGCCGTCCCTGCCTGCGATCGCGGGCAGCCCCAGCACGTCACTGACCGTGGGAACGATATCTGCGAGGCTGACCGGCGTGCTCACCACGCGCCCGGCGCGCTGGCCCGGCAGCTTGATCACGAGGGGCACACGGACGACGGCCTCGTGGACAGGCTCGCCCGCATGGCCGAGGTACCCCCGCTCGAAAGACTCACCGTGGTCCGAAGTGATGATGACGAGGGCCTTGTCCAGCCGTCCCTGACGCTGCAGTTCATCGAGAAAGCGGCCCAGCGATTCGTCGGCGCCGAGGAGGGCCTCCTGGTAACGCAGCCTGTGCTGGTCGACCAGGCGCTGTTGGGCCGTGCCGTACTGGCCCATGGCCAACATCTGCGACCAGCGCTCCACCGGCCCGGGGGGCAGCAGCTTGTACTTCGTGGAGCGCGGCGGCAGGTAGGGGTCGTGCGGTGGCAGTGTGTGCACCCACAAGAAGGCCGGCTGGCCCTGGGCTTGCAGCCAGCGCAGAGCGCCGTCATACGCATACTCCGGTGCGAAGGGGCTGCGCTCGCCGTGCAGATAGACGTCGGCGGTGTCCAGGAACGGCACGAGGCCAGCGAGCCAGTACGGCAGCGTCGTGTTGCCGAAGACGGTCAGGGCCTGTCGGGGAATCAGGCCGAGAGATGTCGAGTCGGCGATTTCGTGGCGGTCGTAGGTGGACGCGGAACCGTGATGGCGAGGGCTCGCCATGATGTTGGCACTGAGCGAAAAGGCGGTGTAGCCGCGCTCGCGCAGCTGCGCGGCGAGCGTCCGGCGTTGCCAGTCCGGCGCCATCGAAGCGACGATCTGCACGCCCCAGTGGCTCCAGGGAAGCGCCCCCGTTTCCATCGTCGACGTGCTGGGCGTCGTGAAGTTGGAGCTGGCGTAGTGGCGCTCGAAACAAGTTGCCTGCTGCGCGAAGGCGCGCAGCTGTGGCATGCGCGTGGGGCCGTCACCACAGACGGCAGCGTCCGCAGCGGCCACGGTGTCGAGCGTGATGAGCAACACATCCGGCGCTCCTGCCGCTGGCGTGACCGCGTGGGCTGCCTCGGCCCCCCACAAGCCTCTTGGCGGTTGCCAGGCCAGCACGGCCACAGCCATTGCCAGCATCGCAACGGCGGGCATGCGCAGACTCTGCAGCGTCGGGATCAAACGCCTCGTGGCGGCACCCAGCAGCCCCCGTCGAGCAGCAATGACAAGCAGCACCACGAGGCACAGCGCGACTGCCACCCGCAAGGCGGGCGAGGGCGTCAAGGCAGTGCCGCTGACCAGGCGAAACCACGCCCAGGCTGACGAAGCGAACTGCCAGATGCACACCCATAGCGGTGGGCCCAGGGCGATCGCCCACGCCACGGCAGGGCGGTGGCGTTGTGGCACGAGGCGCGCCATACCCACCGCCAGCAGCGTGCCCAGCAACGCCGCCAGCGCCAGCACGAGTGTCGCCAGTGCTACATCGCGTGCCAGCTCGGCGGGCCGATAGAACGCCAGGAAGGCGTCCAACTGACGAAGCAGTGTCAGCGGCATCCACAGCAACGCCAGTACGCCCAGGCTGCTGAGCCACAGCGTCATCGGGCGGCCGGGCGGGAACCCGCCGTGCAGATTCGGCGCGTCAGGCGCGCTCATTCAGCCGAGCGGCCCGTCAGCTTGCGCCAGGCTCGGCGGGCGAGATCGGCGATCCAGCGCCTCAGGAACAACCAAGCCCCCACTGCGGCCGCGAAAATCGGTGCCAGCAGCTGGAACAGCATGCCGCCGGCATTGGGATCGATGTAGGCCAGAGCCGGCTCGCACACGACGACGAGCGCGATGCCGAGCATCAGGGATTGGGGAAGAAGTTTCATGAGGTGGGCTGTCGATCCGATGCGCTAGTCCGTGCCCGCCGCAACGCGGTGAAGCAGGTCGATCGGGGATGTGACTGGCGGGAAAATGATTCTAGCCAGCCGCCCTAGAATCCAAGTCCCGCTGCCGTGCCCCTCGCGCAGCCAATCCTTTCGATGCTCTCGCGGCTCCGGGCCGTTTCCTCGTCTTGAAGCTTGCCCGCCACACGCTCTACAACCTGATTGGACTGGGTGCGCCGCTGCTGGTGGCAGTGGTCAGCATTCCCGAGCTGATTCGCAGCCTCGGCGAGGCCCGGTTTGGCATGCTGGCTCTGATTTGGGCCGCCACGAGCTACTTCGGCCTGTTCGATCTCGGCCTCGGGCGTGCGCTCACGCAGCAACTGGCCATCGTGCTGGGCGAGCAGCGTGACGACAAGGCGGGGCCGCTGAGTGCCACGGCGCTGCTGCTGATGAGTGCCATCGGTGCCCTGGCTGCCGCTTTTCTGCTGCTCACTGCGCCGGCCGCCGTCGACTTGGTGCGCAATCTGCCCGACCGCGAGGACGCGCTGCACGCCACCTGGATCATGGCACTGGCCTTGCCGGCCATCGTCGTGACCACCGGCCTGCGGGGCATGCTGGAGGCGCGGCATTCGTTCGCGGTCGTGAATGCCATTCGTCTGCCAATGGGCGTATGGACGTTCGCCGGCCCGTGGCTGGTCGTCAGCATGGTGGGGCCTCGCTTGGCGGACGTCACGTTGGCGCTGGCCGTGGGGCGCTGGGTGGCGCTGTTCGTGCACGGCGCGATGGTGTGGCGCGACCTGCCGCAATTGCGCCGGCACCTGCGCTGGGATTCGCGCTGGGTCCGTCCGCTGGCGACCTCCGGCGGTTGGCTGATGGTCAGCAACCTCGTGAGCCCCTTGCTGGCCTACGTCGACCGATTCGTCATCGGCGCGTGCGTGTCGGCGGCTGCGGTGGCGCATTACACGACGCCGCAGGAGATCCTGACCAAGCTGTGGATCATCCCGGGTGCATTGACGTCCGTGCTCTTCCCGACGTTCGCCGTGCTGATCGAGCGGCGCGATCCGGCGTCCTGGCAATTGTTCGACCGCGCCACCTGGGCCCTTTATCTCGGTCTGATGCCCATCAGCCTGGGCTTGGCGCTGTTCGCGCCAGAGATCCTGCAGCTTTGGCTGCGCAACCCCGAGTTCGTCAGCGCCAGCGCACCGGTCATGCAGGTCTTCACGCTCGGGATTCTGCTGAGCTGTATTGCCCACGTGCCGGTGACCTGGCTGCAAAGCTCGGGCGACAACCGTCCCGCTGCGCAGGTGCATCTGGTCGAACTTCTGCTGTATGCACCGCTGATCGGCTGGGTGGCCACCCATTACGGCGTGATGGGCGCAGCCTGGGTCTGGCTGATGCGCATCAGCATCGACTCGTTGGCCATGTTCTGGCTGTGCCATCGGCGCCGCCCGGCGCCGGGTCTGTTCAGGCATCCCGTCGCCCTCATGGCCGGCACCGCCGTGACCCTCTGCTCCTATCTGTGGGTCGGACAGGCCGAGCTGCTGCCGCGTGCGGTCGTGCTGGGGGTGCTGGTGGTCGCTGCGGTGGCGTTGGGCCATCGACTCTGGCGTACGCTGCTGGAGGATGCGAGTCGCAAGGTCTGGCCACCGCAGGACCTCGATTCACTGCCCGGGCCGCTGCCTCGTGTCACGATCGTCACGCCGGTCTACAACCAGGAGGCTTTTGTTGCCGAGACCGTGCGCAGCGTGTTGTCACAGGACTACGCGGCGATCGAGTACATCGTCATCGATGACGGGTCCACCGACAGCTCCCTGCAGGTGCTGCGAGGGCTGGAACAGGAGTTTCCTGGGCGCTTCCAGCTCATCAGTCAGGCGAACTGTGGGCAGGCAGCCACGTTGAACCGCGGCTGGGCGCTGGCAACCGGCGACATCCTGGCCTACCTGAGTTCGGACGACCGCCTGCATCCCGAAGCGGTCTCTCGCATGGTGTCCGCGTTGCTCAAGAACCCGGGTGTTGCGGTTGCCTACTGCGACTTCTGCCTGATCGACGCCAGTGGCGAGCGCATGACCGATGTCCAGGCCGAGGACTATTCCGAGGCTCGGCTGCGGAAGCATCTCGTCTGCCAGCCCGGGCCGGGGGCCTTCTTCCTTCGCTCGGTCTATGAGGCAGTCGGAGGCTGGGATGCTGGCTTGCGCCAGGTGCCCGATTTCGAGTTCTGGCTGCGTGCGTCACGTCATGCGCCGTTTCTGCGCGTGCCCTATCCGTTGGCTGAATACCGGGTTCATGACGAGTCGGCGTCGTTCAGGCCCATGCCACAGGCACGCGCTGACGAGATCGTGCGCGTGGTCGAACATCACCTCAACTCCGGCCAGATGCGTGGGCATTTCGCCATGGGCATGGCCCTGGCGATCAGCGCCATGAACCATGCCCAGTCGGGACGGGCACGCCTGGCATTCGTGAGGCTGCTGGCCGCGCTGCGCACCCACCCCGCCGTCGGGCTGCAGATGATCGTTTGGCGGCGCGTGTTGTCAGGCTTCTTCCGGCGCAGCTACTACCGGCTCGGAACTGCGACATGACCATGATCAGGCGGGTGCTCTCGAGCTTGTCGCGGTCCGCTGCCTCAGACCGCACGACCTCCGTCGAGAACGGCGGGCCTGGTTCGATGCGCCGCGTCCACGCCGGCGACCTTGGTGAGGCGTCCCGGCGCATCAGCGTCCTGCGTTTTCCGTTGATCGTGGCCGTGGTGTTCATTCATGCCTATGTGCTCGGCGCCACGCCGGCCGCTACGGGGCAGTCCGACACCATCTCATGGGTAGCGCACTACGTGCGCAATCTGGTTTCCCAGGGCATCACTCGGACGGCGGTGCCGATATTCTTTCTGATCTCCGGGTATCTCTTCTACCGGAACTTCAGCCTGTCGCTGTCGACGTACGTTGCGAAGATCCGGTCTCGCACTGAAACGCTCCTCATTCCGTTTTTGTTCTGGAATCTGCTGATCTTCCTGCTGTTTGCCATTGCGCAGTCGAACCCCAGAACATCAGGATTCTTCAGCGGCACCGTGATCAGGATCCCCCAGCTCACCTGGAGCGAAAGTCTGGCAGTCCTGCTCGGCATCGGGCGCGATCCGATCGCCTATCAGTTCTGGTTCATCCGCAACCTGATGGTGGCGGTGGTGCTGTCCCCGATTCTCTTCTTGCTGCTGACGCGCGTTCCGAAAACTGCCGTTCTGCTTGCGTTCATCATTTGGCTCGGATTCAACGAGTATCCTTCCGCAGAAGGTCTTTTCTTCTTCGTCGTCGGAAGCGCTGCGGCCGTCCGCTCCATCGACATCTTTGCGCTTGATCCGTATGGCAAATATGTCGCTTGGAGTTACGTGGTGCTCGCCCTGATTGATGCAGCCGTTTGGGATTCTGGTGCCCCCTACTTGCATATGCTTGCCATTGCGTTCGGCGTGCTCACTGTGCTCTATCTGAGCAAATTCGTCGCCGAGCGGGAAGCCTTGGCGCGCCCCCTGACGCATTTGGCCGGGGCAAGTTTCTTTGTATTCGCAGCGCATGAGCCCTTGCTGACCATCTGTCGAAAAATCATCGACAAGGTTGCCCCGGCCACCGACGCGATGATGGGCTTGCTTTACTACGCCACCATCCCTGCGTTGATCATCGTTTTGCTGGTGGCCGTTCGCGGGGCCATCGCCCGCAGCCTGCCCAGCTTCGCGCGCATCATCGGCGCCGGCGCGCAAGCGATGTGACGGGTACCTACGAAAATGCCACGTCACCTCCATCCGCTCAAGCGCTGCGTCCAGCGATGAACTCCTTGCCGCCTCGCCACCCGACGGCTGCCATGCTGCTGCTGGCCACGTTCATGCTGCTGCCGCCGGCCGTCGCCTACCTCTTTCCGGTGTCTTCATTCACCGCCGGCACGATCGCCGCCTGCATCGTCGGGCTGGCACAAGTGCCGCTCGGGTGGACTGCGCAGGTGCTCGCCAAACGCGCCTTCTGGTCCACGGTCGCCGCGCTCGCACTCGCACTGAGCATCCACTTCATCGGAGCGTCGTTTGTTTTCCAGACCGATGCCATCAGGTTTGTTGGCTCGGCTGTGATCTTGATATTGGTCTTCGCGACGGCCTCGGCTTCGAGCATGGTGATCTACGGCGGGATCTCGAAGGCAGGGATCAGTCGAATCTTTCTGCTCATGCTCGTGTTCGCCGTCATGGCGCAATCGGGCATCGTCGTTCCAGGGGCGAATATCACCCTGAAATCTGTGTTCCCGTTCACCGAGCCTTCCTTCTTCGGGTTGGCTTTTCTACCCCTGCTGCTCTTCTGCACGGCCTCTGCCCAGGGTGTATACCGGTTTGCCTATATCGTGATCGGCATTGCAGCAGCGCTCGTGCTGCAAAACCTGACCATGCTCGCCGGGACATTCCTGATATTGCTGGCCATATCCAGAGTCGGGGGTATTGTCGTCATGACGTCATTGCTCGTCGGGGCGCTGTTGTTCAGTGGTCTGGACCTGACCTATTACACCGAGCGCCTGAACTTCTCGTCCGACAACAACAACGTGTCCACGCTCGCCTATCTTCAGGGCTGGCAGATGATGGATGAATCGCTTTCAATGACCTCGGGCTGGGGCGTCGGTTTCTCGCAGATGGGGATCAACGGCAGCGAGGTGGATGCGGCGGAACTGATCTACGCGATCGTCGGGGATTACATGAATCTGAACGACGGAACGTTTATCTTCTCGCGACTCGTGTCGGATTTCGGTTTGCTCGGAATTGTCGTGACGCTGTTCTATCTCGGCGTCGTTCGCCGCAGTTTGCTCAGCTTGAGGAACTATTCGTTCCGGCGTGTGCAGCTGGCCCCCGGGGCGGCGCTGGCGCATTCGATCATCGTGATGTCCGTCATCGATGTATTTGTCCGCGGCATCGGCTACCTCACCGGTTCGATGATCATTTTTCTCGCGGCCTGCCAGTTTCTCTATGGTCTCCACGCCCGTCCCCACGTGGCGCATTCAGGCGCACGGCCGCGTGCCGCCTGATGGCATTGGCGGTGCCAAGCCGCCAGGGCGTCGACAGACCATTCAAAAGCTGATCTCGATAATTCGAAGCCCGGTTTCGACGATTTGGGCCATCGGGCCTCCAGGAGGCCCTTGCATAGAATGTCCGGGCTCGGAGGTCGCTGCACTTGGCAGCGGCCGGGCTTTTGTGGCCACTGCGCCCGTTTTCTGACATGCATTCCTCTCCCGCCCCTTCGCGAGCCACCCTGATCGATCTGATCTGTTCGCGCCTGGAATCTTCCTTGCCGCAACTGCAAGCCGATTTCCAGGCATCCGCCCAGGCCGTGGGCGTGCGTCATGCGGTGGTGGACGACCTGCTGCCAGTCGAGATCGCCGAGCGCATCCACCGGGCCTTCCCGCAGCCCTCCGCGATGCGGCTGATGGAGAGCTTTCGCGAGCGCAAGTACACCTCCAAGAGCTTCGACCAGTTCGACCCGCTGATGGCGGACATCACCTTCGCCGTGCAGGACCCGCGCGTCGTCGAGATCGTCGAGCGGATCACCGGCATCCGCGAGCAAATCCCCGACAGCAGCCTCTACGCCGGGGGCTTGAGTGCGATGGTCAAGGGCCATCACCTCGGGCCGCACATTGACAACTCGCACGAGGCGTCGCGGCGCTACTACCGCACATTGAACCTGCTGTACTACGTGACGCCCGGCTGGTCGCTCGAGAACGGCGGCAACCTTGAACTCTGGGACCAGCGCGTGCAGAAGAACGTCACGCTGGTGAGCCGCTTCAACCGGCTGGCCATCATGGAGACGACGCCCACCTCCTGGCACTCGGTCAGCCCCGTCGTGGCCGACGGCACCCGCTGCTGCGTGTCCAACTACTACTTCTCGCCGCGCTCGCCGACGGGCCAGGACTATTTCAACGTGACGTCCTTCAGCGCCCGCCCGGAGCAGCCGCTCCTGCGCCTGCTGGCGCGCGTGGACAACGGCCTGCGCCAGGGCGTGCGGGCGCTCGTGCCGCAGGGCCTGGGCAAGAAGG